CATTTTGGGGCTATTTTCAGGCCAAATCTTGCCTGAAAACCGGCCTGAAACCGCCCCCCCCAAACAGCCAGAAAAACGCCCAAAAAACAGGCCAGTTGGTCTTTGGGTTTCCGGTGCTCCTGCATGCACACATGCACACATGCACATGCAGTCCAGTTTTGGCACTCGGTGCTGAAAATGTTTGCCATCGTCTATCCATCTTTCTCACTCCACCCAGTAACAGGTGAAAACCAACCAATTATCTGTTTCCCAAAAATGCGCTGGGAGGTGGGAGATCAAGGTTTATTTATTATTTCTTTAGCCACTCATGTTATTGTTTACCAAGTTCCAACCTGCAGTAACCCCAACTACCTTGTGCAATGGAAAAGAACTGGAGATTTGATATCCCCCACAAAAAAAGATGGATTTGAAATAAGCACCAACTAGAGAGCTGTCCATGTTCCTGGATGTTCTCCGCAAAACAGTTCTTGATCATGCAAGGAACTTTCTCTTTTGCTTGTGTGTGTCTGTATGTACGTGTTTGTACATGCATGTGTGTCTGTGAATGTGTGTGTCTTTACAATCCATTGGCACCCTTCAGTCCCCTGGAGCCTTTTAAGACACTCATTTTCTCTCTCCGTTTCTTCTGCTCCACCGATGGGAATATGGATCTCCCGTAAGAGCTCAGCATCTTCCGGTTTCCCAACTTCACCAGAAGAAATGGGGAGTGGGTGCCAGGCATCTGGGCTCTCTTGCAGGGCAGCAAAATGACCCTGGGGGCACTGGGTTTGCAGAAACCAGAGAGAGGGCCGATCCAGCCAGTCGCCAGAGGCTGTCTCCAGGCACACCTGGAAGCATGGGGGGGGGGGAGCCACTTTCATGCAGGTAGCCCCAGGTGACTTGGGCCACTTCAGCTGTTGAGGAAGTGAAGTAACTTGTGAGGCCTTGTCCTCTGCCAATGATTAGTGGGGTGCCTTTGTGCGTTAGCAGGCAGGATGTGTGCCCTACACCTCATATGGAAAGTTTGATATAAAACATCGGTACCCAACCTCAGAACTGTTCTGACCTAGGCTTCCCCAGCAGCAAGAAACTTGGTCTTCGTCCCGATAAACCCCTTTTATTTAATTTAGAGTGAATTCCTTTCCAACCAAGTCTTTCTTCTTCCACAGTCTTTCAAGATAGTTCACAATTACCGACCTTTATCAGGATTGGAGTGTAGCCAGGCCGATATATTTTTCAAATGGCACAATACTTGGCAAGAATGCAGGAATGAACTAATTGTCTCCTGCAAACACCGCTCCCCTTTTGCTCCTCTTTTATTCCCTATGGGAGGGGCCATTCACCGTCCACCTGTGACCTTACTCCCAAGTCGACCCCTGTTCTTTAGCTGTTCCCTTCATCTGTCAACTCTGCGCATGCGCACACTGGGAACAGGATCCAGCTGTTCAACTGCCTCATTGATCTCTGACTGCGAAGGCAGCTGGTAACTGACATACGGCTCTGGCCTCCTCCCTGCCTCCGATGCAGAGCCCTTGTCACAGTCTTCCCCAGACTCCAGGAATGGCCCAGGTTCCTCCCCAACCTCCTCACTGTCTGAATCTGCTGCCAGCTCTGCTGGCCGCTGGCAGGCCACAACAGGAACTTTAAGACCTGTGGACTTCAACTCCCAGAATTTTCCTGCCAACCATGCTTGTTAGGGAATTCTGGGAGTTGAAGTCCACAGGTCTTAAAATTGCCAAGGTTGGACACCCCTATTTATAAAGAAAGCTGTGGCACAAATATGGGATGTGGTTGCACCCCTTGCTAAAGCATAACGTGGTTTGTTTGCTGTTGCGGTTTACCAAACACACTTCATAGCTTGTCCATGGCCTATTGGCCAGTCCATGGTCAAGCCATAAATGGGATCGCAATAGAGTTCAGAGGTGGGATTCAGCAGGTTCTGACCAGTTCTGGAGAACCAGTAGCAGAAATTTTGAGTAGTTTGGAGAACCAGCAAGTACCACCTCTGACTATTCTCTGCCTCCAGAGTCCCGGCGGATCAGGAGGGAATGGGGATTTTACAGTATGCTTTCCCTGCCATGCCCACCAAGCCATGCCAACAGAACCAGTAGTAAAAATGTTTGAATTCCACCACTGGTAGATTTGCAACTCACATGTTTGTTATAATCCACCTACATCAGCGAAGGTGACCCATTTGGCAGTGTGCAAAAGGCAGATGTTGAAACTTTCAACATCTGGCAAAGGCCATGTTTATCTCTGCAACTGCAAGTGCATATATCTGAATGGTTGGCCAGTATTTGCTGAAATCTTATGACTGAAGGATGGCAGGATTCCCTCTTGGTCTTTTTCCATCACTTCCCAGTTCATGCTTAAAATAAGCAAGACAAACAGAATGACATGAAACTACGCACGTTGCCAAGGAATGCTGTCATCGGGCCATTTCCTTCACCAGCATGTTCAAGGGATGTTTGTGGCCACCAAGAAGCTGCCTGCATTTAGTTCATTGCTCTTGAGTTGAAAGCCTTAAGAGCTTTGTCCAGAAAACGAGACAATGACGGGAGTGGCATTTTCTGGTTCAAGTATTTTACTAGTTTACCGAAATATACAATACAGAAATTCAAAGAAAAATTAAGATAACGGGAAAATAGGAGGAGAAAAGGGGAAGAGGAGAAAGTGTAGAGTAAAAGAATAAAGAAAACCCCAACTTTGGCTCAGTGGCTAAGACGCTGATCTTGTAGATCAGAAGGTCAGCAGTTCAGCAGTTCAAATCCCTAGCGCCGTGTAACAGAGTGAGCTCTGGCTACTTGTCCCAACTTCTGCCAACCTAGCACTTCGAAAGCATGTAAAAATACAAGTAGGAAAAATAGAGACCACCTTTGGTGGGAAGGTAACAGAGTTTCATGTGCCTTGGGTGTCTAGTCATGCCAGCCATATGACCAGAGAGACGTCTTCGGACAGCGCTGCTCTTCGGCTTTGAAATGGAGATGAACAACAGCCCCTAGAGTCAGGAATGACTAGCATGTATGTGCAAGGGGAACTTTTACCTTTACCTTTATGTACTAGCCATTTCTATAACAACAAATCTATCTATTCAGCAAAACCCCAAATCAAACTTTCATCTTAAGCAGAAAATCCAGAAGTGGTTTCCAAGCAGAAACAAAATTAGCCATCTCTGCTAATGCCATCTATTTTTGTAGCCATTCATCCACTGTGGGGATCAAAGTATCCTTCCATTTTTGTGCATAAAGTATTTTTGCTATTTGGGCTGAATACAGTCAAAATTCATAAGGGCAGATGCTATGGTGTGGCCAAAACACCGTGGTTTCTATGTCTGTTGCAGCCACGATGCATATAAAAAACAGTCCAGGTTCTGATTTTGCTATCCTGGTTTTTCTGAGCATGTTCTGTGGGTGCCCAGAAAGAGGACCCCCCGCTTGAGACCAGGTTCCACACTGGAAATTCCTAAATGGAGATGTAAAAGTTGGATCATTCTTGCTAACATCCCCTCCAGGCTTAAAAGTGGATCTGGAGCAATATAATCTTCAAAGTTGAGGACCTGGGCAAAAAGCCACACCAACACACCATTCTTTAGATACTGTGGGAATTCCCCCCCAATCCCTAGAACCCTGACGGTGAATGTATGGCACGCATGCCACCGGTGGCATGTGGTGCCATGTGTGCTGGCACGCCAGCCGTCAGCTCCGGCATGAATGCGTGCACCGACCAGCTGATTTTCGGCCTTCCAGAGAGCTGGGAGGGGCCATTTTTGCCCTTCCCAGCTTCAAGAAAGCCTCTGGAGCCTGGGTGGAGGTCGTGCATGCGGGTGTGTGTGTTTGCACACACATGTGCAGGTGGGCGGGGAAGATTGATTGGTGTGGGTATGTGGGCACGTGCAAAAGCCATAGAAAAAGGTTTGCCAACTCTGCCCTAGAAGAATGAACTATTTTGGGGAACTTTTAAGAGGCAGACTATTACCTTTCCTCAAAGGAGAAATGGAGAGACGTGTTCTTAGAAGCAGAAAGCAGCCTCCAGTCTTTCTTAACAGCCCAGAGTAGATGCCGGCACTTAAGCAGATGAAGAGTTTATTGAAAGAGGAAACCAACTACCTAGATGGCTCCATTCATAAGTAAAGGAAACACTGCCGGTAGAAGTCCATTCAAGACAGGATATTTCGAAGCTCCTTGCAGCAAAGTTTGACAGCTAACAAAAGCAAACACAAGACGAAAGCCATTAGCCACAATAGGAATTGCTCAACCCCCATTTGGAAACACAAAGCCCATATTGCACAAATCCCAAACTTCAAGGTTACAGAAAGTATAAAAATCCATCCACTCCTTCAACCATTTGGTTCAGCTGACCCAGAACTGCACACTGTCTTTGTATGTCTGGTTCTGTTTTTTCTTCCAGCAACACCAACATGGTGGGCAGTTGTGCAAGCCATTGGAGCGTGCAATCAAGGACTGAGTCATGTGAATGTGACTTTGCACCAGATGGATGTCTAGAAAAAGGTGGAATCATCTGCCATTTAGTGCAGTGCTTACTTAATACATGTAATACACAGTTACAAGCCTCTCCGCTTGTTACTACAACAATCATTGTATAAGCTATGTTTAAACAACCCAAGATAAAGCTGCTTTTATATCCTTGCTAGTTTGCTAACAATGACAGAATGGCAATCTGGAATAACTTCCTCGCCTCCCCACCCCCCACCCCCACCCCTTTTTTTTTGCATGACACAGTGAAGTTTGCGGATGAGTGACTTGCAAACAGAAATCAAAGTTACTGTCTGCTGCCTTTAAGTGCAGAGATCTGGACAAGCGACCTTCTAGAACTGTAGGAGTTAATCCTTGAGGCCATGTAGACATTTGTTGGGAGAATGGTCTCCCTTGTCTCTGGAGTTTCTACAACACTCGTCTATTTCCCTCCCCTCTCTCTCTCCCTCCCTTCCTCTCTCTCTCTCTCTCTCCCGCCCTCTCTTTATCTTGTCATGATTATTTGGAGGGGGGCATAAGATACTTTGGAGTTTGACCCCCGAAGGCTGATAAGGAAGCAGCTCAGCCCGACTCATGAGCAGCATCAAAGGCAGGGCCAATGACTCCATGTGCCCTGCCTATCAATTCTCCCTTTCACGCCTGTGAACTTGTGAAAGAGCCTCATTGAATTCTCTCCGCTGGCATCTGGAAGCCACCCTGCGAACCGGCAGGAGGCTGGTCGCCCCGAACACAAGGCAGAAGCGAGCCCCGGGCAGCAGGGTAAGTCTCTGCTCCTGGCTAGGATCTGTGGGAGCGCCTTGAACCCCAGTCGGGGTGCATCTCAAAAGGCCTGTGGGGGCGTCACTGCCAGGTCTGGAGGCACCGTTTGTGGGGAAATCGAAACAGAGTGGCAGCAAGAGCTGCAGCCCCGGCCAGCCGCATGGATTTCTGGCTCTCTCTCCATCCAGGGGATTCCTTTCCATGCATGGTTGCCCCTAGCATAGCGTGGCCTCCTGCAACTCATTCTGGGCAGCAGCTGGAAGAAGAACCTTGGTGCACCTCTTCAACCTCCTCTTTGCCAAAGGACAAGGAGGATGCCCAGATGGTCTCCCAGAGGGCAGGTGTGGGGCAGAGCAGACAGTTATTGCCTTTAACCCTTCGACTCACCTAGGCATTTCATCTGGGCTCTGGGGCTTGGAGGGCAACACTAACGTTCCCATCCAGCTGCAGAAAGACCCTCCCCAAAAAACTGACCACCTCTGGTGTTGGCAAGCAGGGCTGCTCTTCATAAATTGTAAGGCTGAGTTAAATCTGTTTTTCCTCCTAGCAGAATCTCAGGCAGGAGTGGTTTCTCTCTGCCCCATTCCCCTCCTCTTTGTCATTGCCAAACATGAAATAATTGTAAAAATGGTTGCAGGCAAGATATTTTTTTAAAAAAAAAACACACCATGTCTGTTAGACGGAGGTGAAAAATGACTGAAATAGTGTTTGATAGAAAGGAACTTCATTCTCCAAAGTAGCTTCAAATGGAAGAATGCTTTCTATTATTGTTGAAATTACAGGACTTAAACCTTTGGGGATACGAGATGGTTTTGCAGGGGAGAATTTACATTATTAAACTGAAACCTCTGGCTAGATTAGCCCCAAAGTCTATCCTTTCCCCCCAACAGCTGGGGCACCCCTTGCCGGTCCCAGGAAAGCTCCATCCTGCAGGGTTGTGCCAGTAATTTTCCTCCGTGAGACCAAGTCAAAGGGACCTATTTTTCTGTCCTCTGTCATAGCAGCCAGCAACGTCCCTGAAGTTCTGGTGTTCCTTGGCCCCCTTCCTGAACAGTTCCAGATCAGCCCTGTGGTGCAAAATCTCCAGAAACCTTCCAGAGTAACGGAGCTGACTCTTCTTCCTGTTGCAGGCAGGCCAGAAAGAGAGATAAAGAAAATTGTGTCAGCGGGCAAGGTGATGAGTTGGCTCCCAGCCTCACCCTCCAAGTGCCTCCTTCAGCTACAAAGAGAAACTTGTTTGTCTGCTCTCAGAAAACTCCCACACAACACAACACAACACAAGGTGACGGGAACAGGAGTTTAGCCTCCCAAAACTTATTTTCTGGGACTCTGTTCCCAGCCTTGGACTCAGCAGATAAGACAACCGCTTGTGGTGGGACTTCTCTTCCTGCAGTTTCGCCAGATTCTGGCACCAAGAAGGAAAGGTATCTTGACAACTAGACCTTCTCCCTGGATCCCAAATCTTTGCAAAATATTTACTTTAGAGAAAGGCTCCCTGTTTTCCTCTGCCGAACTGAAGGTAAGTCAGTGAGGGAAGAAGTTTGCTAAATGCTTGGATGAAGTTTTTGTTATTGCTTCCAATGTTTGGGGGCTGCTGATTCTCTCCTCTCCCCCCCCACCCCCACCCCCATAGCCCTGGGACTCCTTTGCATTATGTATTCCCTGGGTTTGCTACTCCAGTATTGTCTACTTCCTTATTAGTTACAGTGGGGACCATTGTATTATTTCACGAGTGGGACCAATGACCTGGGACGAGGGGTGGTGGTGGATGAAGTCCCTTGCATTGGAGGTCTTCAGCTGGCTGAAGTTGGTTGGGGGTATTTTAATTCCTGCCTTGAGAAGTGGTCGCCCATGAGGGGCTCTAGATCCCCGTCCAATGTGAGGGTTTTACGTTCTAGCTCAGTGTTGGCTAACTTTTTCAGCACCAAGTGCCCAAACCGGAATGCTTGTACACATGCATGCATGTGCCTGCGCCAGAGCACTGGAAACCTGAAGATCAGCTGGACGGCACATGCCTGCCTGTTTTGGGGGCATTTTTTGGCCATTTTCAGGCTGTTTTCCGGATCATTTTTGATCCAAAAACAGTCTAAAAATGCCCCCCAAAATGGACTGGTTTGGGGGTGTTTTTCAGGCCATTTTTTGAGCCATTTTCAGGCCGTTTTCTGGCACTCCGGCACCCACAAAGACTAGCTGGCAACAGCACACATGCCCATAGAAGGGGCTCTGTGTGCCACCTCTGGCATGTGTGCCATAGATTTGCCATCATGGTTCTAGCTGGTCATTGCATCTAGAAAGCCAATCCTGAAGGCTTGACGAAGAACTGTTCTTGGTTGTCAGTCGGCACAGAGCAGAGAAATGCCTGTGGCTTCCTACAGATACAGCTGCTTCTGCTTCTTGCTGCATAACTTGATCAACAGATTGCATTTGATTTAGTGCAACGGAGCTCCAGGGGTGTGAAGAGTAGAACTGAGGCATTCTGCCTCAACATGCGAACAAAGGGCCCATTCTCTGGGCACTGTTATTTTTTTCTCTCTCTCTTGCGGGATTAGAAAGCAAATAAAGCTGGCCAAAAGCAAATAAACTGACCTTTGCATCACTTTAGCCAGTCAGTCTAATTTAGAATCTGTCACAATCGCTTTTCTTCCCCCCCCCCCTCTTGCCGTAGTGAATAAACAGGACTCCTGCTGGACTCAAACCCAGAGCAAGAGTGCTAGACAGAGCTGCCTCTTCCCGAAGAAGGGATTTGACTCACTGATTCTCTTTTTCGTCCCGCAGATCCACGCACTGGGCAGGGGTGGCAGCTGGCAGCCAGCAGCGATGGAGCCGAGCGGTACCAGCCCCCCATCTCCGCCCACCAGCAGCTGGACTGCCTTCCCCCAGCGAACCTTGGAGGCCGTTGATATTGTTGTCCTGGTTTTATACTTCGTCTTTGTGTTGGCTGTGGGCCTGTGGGTAAGGAGGGCTCCTCGTGGGCATCGGTTGGGCACAAAAAGCAGAAAGCTCCACTGAGCTCTGCAGGTGTTTTAGGGATTGTCCCCAAATCTCATGGTTAGTTCTCCTTAGGGGCCACAGCATAGGAAGTGGGGTGAGGGGTCTTTCTGGGGACACAGCAGCCCATATTTTGGTCTATTTTTTTAAAATTTTTTATTTTGTTTATACAAACTTCACGTCTTTACAACACATTACACTTCTTTTACATAACTGTTGTGATTCTTTTATCTGTACAAATAAGTCTTTTATAACTATAACTTTATAAAAGTACATTTATATTATTACATACATCTTTTTCTTCATTCTATATATATAACATTCTATATATTCTATGTATAACTATTACATTTGAGTCATTTTCCTATTATTTATTTGCTAGAGTCTATTTCGTATTTCTATCTTTTAATCATTTTTCGATTTTGTAGTTCTTTATTAATTTGTTGATCTTCCTTCCTTTCTTTTTTGCTTTCCTGCTGCTCCCCCCCCTTTCCTCTAGCCAATTATACCATAAATCCCATATGGAGTAATATTCAGATTCTTCTTTCTCTTTTAGTTCTTTCGTGAGCCTATCCATCTCTGCACCTTCCAATATTTTTTATTACATTTTCTTCTGTTGGTGTGTAATTATTTTTCCAGTTTTGTGCAAATGTCATTCTCACTGCCATGATTATGTGTAGAATTAAGTATCTAATATTTTTTTCATAATTTCCTTTTATAATTCTTATAATTTTGGTCTATTTTTATTAGCTTCGTAAATCCAGCTGATACCCGAAAGCAAAACCTCCTGTCTAAGACCCAGCTGTGTCTTCCAGTGACTGTCAGGGCAACTTTCTCACGGGGAAGCCTGGCACTTCCCCTGCTCTTCCTCAACTGTGGGTGTGGAGGCTGTGGCATCATAACCTCACTTAAACCAGGGATTTTCCAGTGGATGATTTGTGTTTGTGGAGGCGGTTGAGTTAAAGGTTATTGAGGGGCTCTAGGTTGAACTAATCCAAGGTGCATTGCAGTTCCACTGCTTTTTGCTGCTAAATCTTTGCTAGCAAATCCCTGGGGACACGAAGGAGCCTCCGGCAGCTAGAAACCACTCATCCTTGAGAGATGTGTGTGCCCGTGTGTAGAGGCAGTTGTTAACTCCTGGTGACTGCCTGGATTTGAATAGACATACAAACACATCCTTTTTCTAAAAGACTGTTTTGGATGCCTTTTTTTTCTTTTTCTTTTTTGCTCAATTCAGGGCATTTGTGGATGGTGGCTGCAACTGCACATCTGTGGCTGCTAGCTTGATTTTTGGATCTCCCCAGAGGTCAGCTCCTGCTCCTCCACTGGGGAAACACATCTAGTTTTGCTCTAGAGCTTTCTTGAGATTGTGCAGAGTCAACGTTCCAGAAACAGAGATGGGCCAAGGCAGGACAAAAACCGAAGTGCGATTTAATTGAGCTGAATTTTCAGTCAAATAAACTTGAGCGTAATTCATTGGATTGCTCTCAATGTGCTTAGCGGTCTTCCGCTTTTATCCATTTTCGTTCCAGCTCTGGGGCCAAAGTCCTCTAGGGCCATCTAGGTCTGCAGGAGAGCAGCATGTCCTGGGTGGGGGGTCCCTCCCTCTCCTAGAGGCCCACCTGAGATTGCTCTTATATAGGAGCCGATGATTGTGGGCAAACTTCCCATAGAAGCTAGACAGCAGCTCAGGGATTAGACCTGTGGCTGTTTCCTGTTCTGGAGGACATGTCACAGCAGCTGCTGTTCTTCTGGATCAGGCCAAGAATAAAGAGCAGCTTAACCTGTGACTACACAAATTCCACAAAATCTATCCTGGCTCATCTAAAGAAAAGAAGAATTGGTGTGTGTGTGTGACATGATAGCAGTCCTCCAGTATTGGAGGGGCTGCCACAAAGAAGAGGGGGGTCAAATTATTCTCCAAAGCACCAGAAGGGCAGGACAAGAAATAATGGATGGAAACTAACCAAAGAGAGAAGCAACCTGGAATTAAGGAGAAACTTCCTAACAGTGAGGACAATTAACCAGTGGAACTGCTTGCCACCAGAAATTGTGGGCGCTCCGTCACTGGAGCTTTTTAAGAAGAGAGAGGTTTTTAAGAGGTTTTTAAGGTTACTTATCTGAAATGTTACAGGCTGGACTAGAAGATCTCAAAGGTCCCTTCCAGATTCTATTCTATGCTATGCTATGCTATTATTTCCCATTCTATTCTATTCTATTTTATTCTATTCTATTCTTTCCCATTCTAATTCTATTCTATTCTATTCTTTCCCATTCTAATTCTATTCTATTCTAGGCTATGCTATGCTATGCTATGCTGTTCTGCAAAATATCTTCTGTAAATGCATTAGTGTCCCACTTCACAAGTTTTGTAGCCGGATCCTGGGTCAAGCAAAGTATTTTCCTAGCCACATGGTTTGCAGAGACCAACACTTGCTAAACTCCTCACAATTCCTGCTATGAAAGGCAAGCTTTGTCATTTTGGTGTCATTGTTCATTGCCCAACCAGCATCGTAGTTCAACTTGCAATGTTGCAGAATAATATGAGATAGAATTCTTGCCCTTGATCAGTGGCATCCAGGAAGTCTCTCTTTTCTCCTGGCACCCTCTGCCAGATCAGAGTGCCACCCCTTTGGCCTGGAGCCTGTGCAAGGCCAACAATCAAATGATTGCATAGTTTCATGGCTCCCGCCTCACTTGTTTGCACAAGAGGCTGGATCAAGGCTACGCACTTCAGGCTGTGCCAGGCTGCCAACCTCAGAGCACCTTGGCACACAACCAGCCTACCAAGAACATACCAATATTTTCTAAGGGATTCCCTTTCCAAAGATTAGATTACAGATTAACAGAGGTGGAAGGGAGCTTGTAGGTCATCTAGTCCAACCCCACTCCTAAGCAGGAAACCCTACACCATTTCTTACAGATGGCAGTCCAGTCTCTTCTTGAACTTCTGAAGGCAACTTCTGTTCCATGGATTGATTGCTCTCACTGTCAGAAAGTTCCTCCTTATTTCCAGTTTGAATCTCTCCTTGTTCAGTTTCCATCCATTATTCCTTGTCTGGCCTTTGGGTACTTTGGAAAATAGCTTGAGCCCCTCCTCTCTGTGGCAGTCCCTCAAATATTGGGACTGCCTGGTCTCCCCTGGTCCTTCTCTTCCCTAGACTAGCCATACCTAGTCCCTGCAACCGTCCATCATATGTTTTAGCCTCCAGTCCCCTCATCATCTCGGTTGCTCTTCTCCGCACTCTTTCTTGATGCCAAATTTTGAGACCTGCTATAGGAGAAGCTGACACTCTTACGGCTCCTCCTGGTTTGTACACGTTCAGACAACCTGGCCTTTGTCAACATCTTGTCTATCAACAAGACAGTCTTCTCTGGCTCCTTCAGACGTCTCTAACTTTGGCAACTTTAAGATTTGTGGACTTCAACTCCCAGAGTTGAACTCTGGGGGTTGAAGTCCACAAA